TGCTGGATGAGCTGCAGGAACACGTCGAATCTATTGATATGGCCAACGGTAAGTTTCACTCTTGTAGGGTCATGTATTCGTATCGAGATGCGTGTTTCGGATTTTTACGATATCGTCGTTTCGATCATCATAAATGGCAGATCTTCATTCAATCGGCGGTCTGGTCCCTCTCTTAAGTTATCTCACCAACTCCCACGCCAAGATTCGGGCAAAGGCAGCCGATGTCGTGACCACGATTGTCCAGAACAATCCGCGGAGTCAGCAGCTGGTTATGGAAGCCAACGGATTCGAGCCCTTACTGTCCAACTTCGTATCTGATCCCGACATTACTGTTCGGACCAAGTCACTCGGTGCAATATCTTGTAAGTTCCACCACTACATTTCCGATAATGTCCGAATCAGAAGTTTCTTTACCCGTGATTTCCTTTTGCAGCTCTCATCCGTCACAACCAACCCGGAATCTCAGCTTTCCGTCTCGCAAATGGCTACGCCGCCTTACGAGACGCCCTGGTCTCGGATGTCCCGAGATTCCAACGGTAATAGTTCCTTTCCAAACAAAACTGGATGTAATGGTCATTTCATTCTTGTATTCACAAGTTTCTGTACCTTTTTTTCCTTTTTCAGAAAAGCCCTGAACTTGATTCACTATCTTCTCCGGGAGAGCAACTCGGACTGCAAAATCGTCAAAGATCTCGGGTTTCCTCGTGTAATGATCCACCTTGCCTCTAATGATGACATGGAAATCCGGGAATTTGCTCTCCGAGGCCTACTCGAGCTCGCCCGTGAGGAATCTGACAGGAGAAGCATCAGAAATCTAGGCAGAGTAGACTCGAAATTGAAACAGCTTCTCGAGGAGAGAATCCAAGGGATCATCCACATGTCACCTGAAGATCAATCTGCGGTTAGAGAAGAGAGACAGCTTTTGGATACCCTCTGGAGCATATATTACGAAGAACCGTCGGGTCTGAGGGAGAAAGGGCTTGTCTTCCTCCCTGGCGATGATGAACTGCCGCCCGATGTGGTCAGCCACCGGTTTGAACCGCCTCTTCGAGCTTGGGCTGCAAATCGTCACGAGAACTCGCCTCCCGGTACTTCCACGGAGGAAGAACCATCAGCTCCCTTACTTCTAGGGCCTGCGCCATGATATTCTTTTTATGGTATCCGATCTGATTCTCTGTAGGAAAAACCAAACTCAAGTTCAGGGGACCATGAACCCTTTTAATATTTGTTGCATTCATGAGCTTTTAATAGTCATGTGCACTGTCCTTCTGAATACTGAAACGGGACAAGGTGAAATCTAAGAACATGACAGTTTTGAAATGGCATCCAAGGAAAATTAGCGATGCTTCGACGATTTTTGTCGCATTACTGCAACTCGTAAGAAGAAAAGCTGAAGCCGGATCTTCCTTCGTTCACAGTTTTCAGCTCCAGCTTCTGAAATGGGCTGGCAAGGAAAATTGATTGCATGAGATTTTACTATTTTTCCAACCATAATGATAAGATTTTTGGGGGAATTGACAAGGAATAAGGTTTACTCACCTGCTGTTAGGATCATAATAGAAGCCGCTGATGGAGCCGTCGCTGCAAGAGAAGCATACATAGTAAAAGCCAGCTATCGTTAATCCACAATCTGTGCCAACGTTCACAAAGTATTGTTCTTTCCATCGCTGTAACATCAGAATGAACCAAATGGCAAGAATGGTAAGAACCGAGTACTGAGTATAACTTCAGATTTCAGTTACAGGGAAAATGATATGGATATGAAGCTACCATAAAAATGTATGGATAGTTGTTAAGGTCCAAACTTCTGCCACCATCAGCCTCCATTTGGCCCTGAAGAATATTCAAGAAACTGTACGGTTCAGTAGACGTCATTTACCGTATGTATGCAGAAAGGCCGAGTTATTAGGTCCTTACCTGAAGCGGTGAGAAGGACGGGAACTTTGACCAGTGCCTCAGATCATCATCCCTCCTGTGACAACAATTTTCAAATTAATTCCTGACAAGAAACCATTTTGAAAAGCAAAATTCAGGTTTTGACTAAAGAGCTGATTCGAAGAAATCGGGTATGGTACATACGTGGCTTCCCATTTCCCGGTGTAGAAAGTATAATTCTTCGTATCAACAATCTCTCCTTCCCAGAATGTTATGACCTGACACATGAAGGCAATGCCAATGATCAAGAATTCAATTCTCAGAATCGTCTCTTCCCACATGAAAATGGATCAGAGAGAACTCATAAGAAGTGCTTACAGGAGTGTCTGCCATCGGAACGTTCAGTGCTTCCATAGTGCCACAAAGATAGCCTTGTTGAAGATCAATCCCCTGTATCCGAACATTAACTCTCCAAGCTTCTTCCTTCTGTTGATTAGAGACGTTCTGTGTACCGGAAAACGCCTGCAGCACAAAATACATTTAAGTTTGAAGATTTCAATTCAATCCGCACGTCTTATGAGTTCGAATTCTAAAAAGGGAAATAAATCAACACATAGCTTTTGTTCATGCATGGCTAAGTATGAAAAAAATCATACACTTGCAGCTTCTGTCTAGTCGTGTGATACTGTGATTCCCATTGGAAAATGCTTAGCAGACGTTTATGAAGCACAATTTCCATTACTAATGCCATCAATCGATTCAATGAAGGAGAAAAAAAGTTGGTCACTCCTCGTTATTCTAGCATTACCACACCAATGCCGAAACAGACTTTTCGCCTCCACGCACAATTCGTATGCAAATTATTCGGCGAAGAAAAAGGGCAGATTAGATATATGCAAATAATTCCGGTACATCCAAACATTGAAAAACGCAATCTTCGATGCTGGGATTTTTCTTCCATTCATCGCTAAGCGTCATCGAAACCACGATTCAAGAACTTTCCTTTTAGTCCTTGCAAATAACGTCACCCCCTCCACTGTATCCACACTCAGTGACTAAGCAAACCCTTATGAAGAAGAACTTCCATAATCTTAGCGATCAATCCATTCAATTATCAAGAACAACCAAGTTGGTGACCCTTGTGATTCTGAGTAATTTAGAACAATCAACTAATCGCCTTCACCTAGAACCATGATTTTCACCTCTACACGTAATCTCGCGTAATTACAACAAAGCATACGAAAAGAGTTTGCTTCTTTATACCTGACCGGCACTCAGAAGCGAACTAGGTGGAAGTGGAGACCTGTCCCCAGGATTCGTTCCTAGCAAAATCAGAACACGTATTTTAACTCACGTGGAAGAGATGCCGATGGAGAAAAATCGGAATCAACCTAACCCTAAATCCCAGTGAAGAAGGAAGGTAGCACCTGAAAGCTGAGCAGGTGGGTTATCCTCCACGACTCTCACCGGCATTTCTTCTCCTTCTCCGGCGTCGGATCGATCCCACTGTGCGTCCGGGGGTAAAATTTCCGTTCTCCTGTTCGGTTCGCGAGGAAATTCCAATCGCAGAGAGGATTTTTATCGGTTGGGCCATTATAACCACGGGAAATGGTCTGGGAGCCCAAAATTCTGAAGAAATGTTAAAAAAGGACTAATAATTTTTTTAAAAAAGAAATTGTATATAAATATTTAAAATTTTATAAAAATCCTAAATAAATAATTGAATTATAACATTTTCAATTTTTTAAAAATTCTATAAAAATTTTTAAAAATTGAAATAAATCCGAAGTTTAGATATTTTTCAAGGTAAATTTCGTTAACGAATTTAGATTTATTTAAAACATTTTAAAATTTTATTTATTTCTATAATTTTTTTGAAAAGCTCATATATTTATAGTAATACTAATAAGTAAAGAATTCAAAGAAATCAGCATTCTCTTTTCTCCTCAAGCTTTTAGAATTAGTTGGATCCACTTAAGGCCCATAAAAGTATAATAATTTTAGATCTTGATTCTTGATTCTTTCGAACATATCTTGCCTTTTTTTCCCGACAGATAGGATATAAAGTATTCTAAACTCAATTAGATATAAGTTTTTTTTGTATAAGTAATAAAAAAAAATTATATATAAAAAACTGAACACGAGTCCGCTCAACTATCATTATAATTAATCATCACATACATAGAAAGATGGCCCAAAATCGGGAGAAAATGCACATGTATTCAACTATATGACAAAATCTATCTCGTGTGACATCCAAATGACCAAAACCACTTTTAAAATTTGCTAACAAAGCGCTCAATATATCCAACATGTTACGAAACGACCCCAAACATTTCTGAAGTTACAATCACCTCCCTCCCGATAGCAGGGAATCAGCAATTGAGGAAGTCCCCGTGAACCCTCTAAACGCCGACGAAGCATACGACATGGCTACATCGCTAAACCCATCTCGACCCGTCAGCATCAATCCACTTTCCGACACATCCAACGGCGACAAATCCGGCAACGAGGATTCTCCTTGTAGATAATGAAGAACCTGTCTCATACTTGGTCTTGCCCTAGGATCGGAGTGTGAACAGAGTAACCCTAGTTTCAGAACCAGTTCCACTTCTTTCGGATCATAATCTGATCCAAAGTTCGGATCTTTAGCATCCAAGATGTTTCCTCTGTACCAAAACCCGAAAACCCAATCCACGAGCAAGAACGTTTCTTCATTACCGCTGCGCATTTCAATGGGTCGTCTTCCACAGGCAACCTCGAGAAGAAAAGCTCCGAATGCGAAGACGTCCGTACAAGTTGTGGCTTTTCCGGTTCTCGTATGCTCTGGAGCTAAGTAACCTATGGTTCCGACCACGTGTGTTGTCTGAGGATCCGACCCGTGATCGTACAAACGGGCCAACCCGAAATCGCCTAATCTCCCGTTGAGTTCTGCGTCTAAGAGAACGTTACTGGCTTTAACGTCACGATGAACAACTACTTGCTCCCATTCGTCGTGGAGATAGGTTAAACCAGAGGCTACTCCCTTTATGACCTTAAACCTCTGTCTCCAATCGAGGGTTACCTCTGGATTGTTGTACAAGTACCTGTCCAAGCTTCCATTCGGCATGTAATCGTAAACCAGAAGAAGCTCTCCTCTCCGGCGACAGTATCCTAATAAAGGGACTAGGTTCCGGTGGCTCATCCGACCAATACTTACGATCTCAGCCACGAACTCTTTCATCCCCTGTCGGGATTCGTGCGAGACTCTCTTCACTGCGATCTCCAGTTTCGTTGTGGGCATAATTCCTCTGTAAACTCTTCCGAATCCTCCAGATCCGAGAAGCTCCTTCTCTTTGAACCCTTTTGTCGCGTAGTACAAGTCCCTGAATCTGAACCTGTTCTTTCCAAACTCTTTTTCCCAGTCATCGAGCTCTTCAGCAAACTTTCTCTTCCTGGATACGATGAAGAACCCAAGAAAGATTGACGAAAATATCAAGAACAGGGCGATCAACGGTACACCGAACTTGTAGAACTCGAGAATTTTTCTGGGTCCGATCCGAGGAAGCTTTGGAAGCTTCGACAAGATCAATGGAGGTGACTCGCCGTTGACCCGGAAGCTCCATCCAAGAACATAGTGTTTCGAGAGAACAGAACCCGTCGAAGACGAGAAACCCACATACATATTCTCGAACAGAATCGGAGAAAGATCTCTAACCAGAGACAAAAGCGGTTTCTTGGGCTTATCCACGTTGAAAGGAGCCATCGTTACATCGATTCGCTTCGCAGGGCCATCGTAATCGATCCAGACCTGCATCGGTTTACGACTGATCATGCTCAGATTTACGAACCGGCCGGTTACATCCCAATAACCGGCCGGTTCAGCCTCCACCGATCTTAGCCCATTGATGTCGATTCCGATATGGTTATCGTTGATATCTCCGAACTCGCTGCTCAGAATCGTGTCGAGCTCGACGGCGAAAAAAAACAATAAATTCGTACTGGTCGGAGCCAACATGGTGGAGTACATTGATGACTTTGGGAGAGTGATGTGGTCCCACGTGAGAGATTGGTCAAAACTCGTGGACGAAATGTAGACCCCACTCGATTCGTGGAAGCTCCTGATTGCTACAACCGTTGATTTTGAAGTCAACGGTAAGATTTTGTTTCGGTCTACGATTGGTCGCGTAGATTTGTACGTATCTGAACAAACCAAAGACTTTTGAGATCGTATCACGTTGTATGTATCCCAGAAGAGCGCCTGGGAGGCCTCTGGTCTGAGCAACGACAAAGGCGATTCCATGGCCGCTAAGTGAGGTGATGTCGGAAACTATGGCGAAGACGAAGGTGGTGGAGAAGGATAAAACGCTGTCGTTTTGGGAGGACTTGAACCGGACCGGTTCGGTATAGAAGGCGTGACCGGTTTGCTGTCTGGTTGCGTTGGTTAAGCGTAAGAGACCGTTGGATGTGACGACGGCGACTCCTTCTAGGGTTAGGTTTGTCACTGGACGGAATCCATTGTAGGTGAAGTTGAGATCTTGGGATGATGATTTTAGAGTTTGGAGGATGAAGAAGAAGAAGAAGAAGGTGAGCTTCACGATCATGGCGGCTGCTATTTCTTTTTTTTTTTTACTGGTTTTTATTTTTAAGGAGAATAATGAATTATGAAATGGGAATATTTATTGAGAAAAAAGAGTGGAAAAGTCGTCAATAGTTGATTGGTGGGGACGACTTCGAATGAACGTGACATTCTCTAGAGGGGAAGGTTCCATGTGGTGTTCAATTATTTATTAATTTAAATTTTTTTAAAATTTAAATTTAAATTTTATTTTTCATGACCGGTATCTAATCGCTTTTGAGTTTGAGGTGGTAAGACCAATATAAATGTTAATTATGAAATGGGACAATTTCTTTTTCCCATTTGTGTTAAAATCATCAAATGTTTTCATCTATACATGAAATGATTATAGTAATATGCTTGTTTACAACTTATTATAATCTTAATTCTTACTTTTGCTTATTATAATCTTAATCTCTGTACACGCAATTCGCTAATTTTTTTCCATCCTAGTTGGACAGACAAAATACCAGAGATAAGCACTTACTCTCGACGGCTGAGATTAACCTATAGCTATATCCGACGGCTATCGTTTGATCAGAAGGGAAGGAAAATGATTGCATCAGAAACAAGATAATGTGTAGAAACATATTCCATTACAATATTTTTCTTTTACAGAGTATCATAAGGAATCAATGGATATCTATTTTCTGCTGATTTCATAACACACAAACACACACACATATATATATACATATTTATCCATGTATGTATAGATCCGATAATCATGGGTAAAATGAACATATTGTCTAAATAAATTTATGTAAAAAACAAATTTGTGGGTTTACGTCAAGACTCAACAACAATACAGTTTGCAATGTTTTTCCAGATTAAATCATGAATGTTTGAAAATGGTGTCATTTCTCTTAATTGATGTGTAAAATTAAAATATGTTTTATATATGAACCGTCATTGAAACGTGCAAACTTGTGATTAAAAATACGTTTTGAAACTATCATATTTTTTGTTATATACAAAATTATTATTTACTTAAATACGGCAATATAATTCTATTATTTTCAATATACTATTTCTTAAAATTTTGGACTGATATTCATTACTTTCCATAACAGTAGATAACTATGCTTCTATTTGTGATTTTTATAACCCGTATTCCGCTGTAGATGTTGCGTTCTATGGATAACGAAAATCATAATTGTAAAATCTTGAATTTGTAGAAATTTAAAATTGTGATTCATTAAAAATTTAGGTACTTATTTGATATTTTTGTAAAATTGAGGAATTTATTTGAGATTTTTTTATTTTAAAATCTTGATAAAAAAAATGAAGCTATATGTTGGTCCATGTGATATAGATAAAAAAATAATAATAGATTGATTCGTGCGGGCTACTATACAAAGTGGGATAAAAAGATAATTTTTTTATAGGTTTGTTTTTAGTTTTATTAATTATTACTTATATATATATATATAATTGTTAATGTATAGATTTTGGAGATATTTAAAATATTATTCGAAATAGTATTTAAAAGTAAAAATGATGCCGATTAATGGAAATAATAAGTTTATTATTTTGATTTTTATTTTCTATGTTATATTTTATAATTTATTTTTTCTTTAAATGATCTAGTTAATTTTATTGCGATTGATTTAATAAATAATTTTTTTAATCTGAAACGTACGTTTAGAACAAATATTTTTATAGCATATTGGATCATTTATAAATGATTTGTTTATTTGGAAGTTATACAATTTGGATTAAAATTGGCTACTCTCAGTCTCAGCCCATTTATAAAATTGGATATATATTGATAATAAACTTAAAAAAACAATAAATTCGTACTGGTCGGAGCCAACATGGTGGAGTACATTGATGACTTTGGGAGAGTGATGTGGTCCCACGTGAGAGATTGGTCAAAACTCGTGGACGAAATGTAGACCCCACTCGATTCGTGGAAGCTCCTGATTGCTACAACCGTTGATTTTGAAGTCAACGGTAAGATTTTGTTTCGGTCTACGATTGGTCGCGTAGATTTGTACGTATCTGAACAAACCAAAGACTTTTGAGATCGTATCACGTTGTATGTATCCCATATGTTGATTCACGGATTTGTATGGCTGTCCAATTAAGGCAATATTGAAATTAGAATGTTGAAAATGAAGTTTTACAGTATAATAAAAAAAATTAATTTGGAAATTAAATAGGGACAAACTAACAAAATCATCAACTATTAATTTTAAGCAAAAAAAACCATTAATTATATAAAATTTGTTATAAAAAATCATCAATTATTAATTTTTATAAAAAAATTAATCATCTATCTACAAAATATTTTTTTAAAAAAATTTATAAAATTTAAAGAAAAACATATATAAATTATATAATTCTAAAAATCACAATAAAAACATAATATTTATTTAAATTTATTATATCATAATATTTAAAATTTATATAAATATTTATAAATATCAATCTTTATATAATAAATTTGTATACAGATATTCTATTTAAAATTCAGTATATTTTATTGGTTGTAAATATGAAATTTAAAATTTTATTATATGTTTGTAACGACCCGAGGCCGCTACGAATTGTCGAAACTGTCCTCACACAGCAACCTGAGACCTTTCAGCGTGTTTTGTTCTCACTCCACGTAAACCGAGACACTTCCCGGTAGGTCACCCATACTGAGATTGCTCCAGAACCATCACGCTTAACTTTGGAGTTCTCTCGGGATAGTCAACCAAAAAGGTAGGTGCACCTTGTTGCTATGAGTAGCTCAACTAATTCTTTTATGTTATCTTAGACCGTATAGTCTCATACCTATACAGCCCTCGGATCTCTCTCATTCCGGTGCGTTCGATTCATCCCTGTACCCCCTACCCAGAATCTCGTCAGGAGCCGCCCCTTGTCCGTGCCTCTGCACCGGCAATCACTCTCCGCCCTCCTACGGTACTTTGGGTTGTCATAGACCCACCAGCTTCCGCCTGGTTCGTCCTCGAACCACACCGTACTGGGAGAGTACCGGCTCTGATACCATCTGTAACGACCCGAGGCCACTACGAATTGTCGAAACTGCCCTCACACAACAACCTGAGACCTTTCAGCGTGTTTTGTTCTCACTCGCACGCATACCGAGACACTTCCCAGTAGGTCACCCACCCTGAGATTGCTCCAGAGCCAGCACGCTTAACTTTGGAGTTCTCTCGGGATAGTCAACCAAAAAGGTAGGTGCACCTTGTTGCTATGAGTAGCTCAACTAATTCTTTTATGTTATCTTAGACCGTATAGTCTCATACCTATACAGCTCTCGGATCTCTCTCATTCCAGTGTGTTCGATTCATCCCTGTACCCCCTACCCAGAAGCTCGTCAGGAGCCGCCCCTTGTCCGTGTCTCTGCACCGGCAATCACTCTCCGCCCTCCTACGGTACTCTGGGTTGTCACAGGCCCACCATCTTCCGCCTGGTTCGTCCTCGAACCACACCGTACTGGGAGAGTACCGGCTCTGATACCATCTGTAACGACCCGAGGCCGCTACGAATTGTCGAAACTGCCATCACACAGCAACCTGAGACCTTTCAGCGTGTTTTGTTCTCACTCGCACGCATACCGAGACACTTCCCAATAGGTCACACATCCTGAGATTGCTTCAGAGCCAACACACTTAACTTTGGAGTTCTCTCGGGATAGTCAACCAAAAAGATAGGTGCACCTTGTTGCTATGAGTAGCTCAACTAATTCTTTTATGTTATCTTAGACCGTATAGTCTCATACCTATACAGCCCTCGGATCTCTCTCATTCCGGTGTGTTCGATTCATCCCTGTACCCCCTACCCAGAAGCTCGTCAGGAGTCGCCCCTTGTCCGTGCCTCTGCATCGACAATCACTCCCCGCCCTCCTACGGTACTCAGGGTTGTCACAATGTTACTATTTGATATGATGTAAATTGATTACATTTTATTGGTTATAGGTTTCTATATTTAAAATAGAATGTGTTTTGAAATTTTCAAATAGTTGATGATTTTTTATTAAAATTATTTTATAAAACTATTAAAAAATTAAAATGATAATTTGAAATCTCTATAATAATAATATATAATAGAATTTTAAATATAATATTTACAACCAATACAATATACTCAATTTATAATCTATTAATATTAATATACATTTTTATATTTTAATAAATAAAGTTTTTTTAAAATTAATAATTGATGACTTTTTTATAACAAATTTAAAGTGAAAATTGTTTTAAAAAAATTTATATAGTTAATGGTCTTTTTTGTTCAAAATTAATAGTTGATGGTTTTTCTATGATGAATTTTAAGTAGAAGGTTTTTTTGGTGTAAATAAAAAACTTGAATATTTTTTTTTGGGTTTGTCCCAATTAAATAAATTGAGATTTTATAGAAAAAATCTAAACGGAAAACCTACATTCGAAAAAAAAAAGCTGTTATAAAAACAATTCTCCCACATTGTTGTTCTGTCGTATTGTAACAATAACATGATCATAAGATAACTGATTATATTATATATTAAAAGCATTAATCGTTATATCATGATTATAACATGCATCATAATGACTGTGATGATAATTAACTATACTAAGATCATTAATTATCTTATCACTAATATATTAAATATGTTATTTGATAGAGTTCATATATTAAATCTAAAACTGTTTTAAATAATATACTTTTAGAAAAATTGTTTTGGGTGCTTTATGTTTTAAATATACATCGTAAAATTGAAAGGGAAGGTAAACTTGCAAAAAATAAACTAAATTATAAAAACTTGTCTACTGCTAAGAAAAGTTGTTATATTGGCTAAGAGCAAATAAATTTATTTAAAACTTCTGCTAAGAAAAATTATTATGTTTTCTAAGCACAAATAATTATATTTAAAGTTATGTAACACATTATTTATATATTTAATAGTTTATAATATCAACAGATATTTCCTACCACATTAATAAAATTTAAAGCATAGAAGATTGTCGGAAAACAATAGAGAATTGCGTCCAAGGCTGTGGATTGAGTCAACCCACGAGCTACGATTTTGTTTAATGACAAGCAAAACGACTACGCATTTTAATATATATTGAAAACTATAGAAAACAACCGAGTATTTTGATAAATAATAGATAAAAAAATAACAGACCAACGGTAAATTTGGATTTGTTACTTTTTATTAACATATTAAGCAAGACATCTTATTTAATTATACATATTCTAATATTAATCTAAAAAATAAATCAATATCATATATTGACTGCTATACTATTCATGACAAATTGAAATCAAACTAATTCTCTGCAATATATATATATATATATATATATATATATATATAATTCAATTTCATTTTATGTCTATATTGGATGCTAAAAAAAAGTGTAAATGGAATCCCACTTTGTCTAACAATAGCTCCTTACCAGTAATATTTTTTTTTAAATTAATAGTACAAGGTCCAGTAGATTAAGAACGTCGTTCTTGTGTGTCTTTATTACCATTTTGGACCAACCTCGAAGATTCCTTAATTAAATAGCATAGGGTCGCACTCAATTACCTATGCGTGTAAAATTGTCGTCTTCCATTTTTTTTTATTCTATAAACAGTACGATTAATTAATTATATTTTATTACCTTAGAAATGAGCCATGATATTATATCGGTGGAATTACATTTCAAGAATAATCAAAATTTTATTACACAAAGTATTTAAAGGTACACCAATGATTACTGAATTTGATATTAATTACAACTTATGAATTATATGAAAAAGAATGCATAAAATAAGTATAATATCATATAAACTATGCTTTTGAATTTGACAGGCTGGACCCTAGTTTTGTTTGATCTCTCTAACCCACCTACGCAAAATGAGCCCAAACTATACTATAATAGTCAACCATCTACCAAATTATATATATATATATATATATATATATAAAATATATATCAATCATATGGTCTCGATATCTCTTTTTCGTATCTATTTTGTTACATTATAAATAAGGCATTATATCGATCAAATTACATACAAAGAATACATGGGAACTTTTGTACGGTATTCCAGTTATTAGTGAATTTAAAATTTGTATTACTAATGAATTTATATGTCTCATCTGGACTATATACAATTTTATATATATATATATATATATATATATATATATATATTGTATACATAATTCATATCCAGTCATAATTTTATTATTTTCACAAACAATTTATATGAATTTGATTTTTAAAGATCATATCTACTATTGGTTCAATAAAACTATAATATTTTAGTTGGTTCAATTCAATTCTCCTATACCTAAATGTTGAGCTCTGATCTCTATGGGCTGAAACGGAAATGGGCCATTAGTATGGGCCTTAGTTGTGAGGAAATCAGACATGGTAACATGTTCCATTGTAAAAAGACTGGTCGTCCTGACGTTTATAAAGATTACGAGTTTTTTGGAGTTGAAAGACTATTTACCATATAAATAAAATAATTAATTATAAATTTTCAAAATATAATTTAATTTAACTTATTTTCTAAATAAAAACTAAAGGTTCAACTGGTTCTACCGCAGCGGTTGCGGTTGTGGGTGACGGCGTTTTCAGAACGTTTGATTGCGATTATGAATGATAAGTACTGACTGGTTAATAAGTTGTTGTTGGCAGTGATTGCGGGTGGGTGCGGTTAGAAGTGAATGGTTCGTTGCGGTTGCGGTTGCGTTTTGATATAAATTATAAAAAAATATTATTTTAAAATAATTTTTTATAATAATTTTAATTAAATTTTTAGTATCATTTGATAAAAGATTATTTACTAAATTTATAATAATTAAATAATAAATTTAAAATATAAATATTATCAATTTAATTTATTTTAAATTAAAAAAATAATTTTATTATAAAAATTATTAAAAATAATCATTATTAAATCTAAAAAGTATACTATTATATATTTTTTATTAAAATATAATACTAAAAAATAATATCAAATCATAACACTAAACAAAATCATCATAAATATATATATTAGAGTTTTATATAATTTTTAATGAAGATATTTTAGTTTTTTTTGTCAAAACGCCGGAAACCGCTACCAAAACGCAAAATAGAATCTGCGATTAGAAAACACAAGTTTGGTTGCGGTTGCGGATGGTTGCGATTCAACCAGTCAGTTTTTCAATCGCCTGTAACCGCCGGAAATCACAACCGCTTCGTTTGCGGGTAACGGCGGTGCAACCAGTCGCCCCCTAATTTTGTTTTACATGTTTTTATTGCGATTGTGTTGTGATTAAATTAATCCGGTTGACAAGAATGTAAATACCGCGTTTACAACATAGTGCGCAGGAGTATCAACCGGACCAGCTCAAATCGGGATATAGTGCCTAGGGTGTTAATCACACCGATCCAATTCTTTTTGGACCTATATAACTAAGGCCGGTCCTATATATTTCGGATTCAGATCAAGTCGCATCGGTCTGGATTGGTCGACATAATTTTTTTTCCTTTTTCTGTTTAAATTATCGAGCTTTTCGGATTGGTCTGAATCGAATCCCAAATCCGATTTGAGTCCGACCCGAAATACGTCGTGTGGTATATATGTGCATAGTACATGCTATTGGTCTTCAAAACCGTACATTTTATATTTATTTTGTGTGTAGTATTATAGGACATGGATAATGTATGCACCAGAAGGAAAAATCAAAATGCTTTCCTAGATTTTTTTATAAGGAATTTGGTGATTCATAGCATTATACATTCATTTGCAACGTATACATTGAAATGAGAATTGGAAAATATTTAGGATAAGATTTAGTAACGAATACATTATATATATACATATACAAAATGTATCTAAAATTTGAATAAATGAATGTAAATAGAAAATGTATCCATTTGTAATTTTGTATGATACATAGAGATGATAATTTTATTAACTGTATGTGTAATTGGAGGATAGACACCTCAATCGAAATTAAAGTCTCTGAATAAATAACCGAGTGAAATTTTATTTTAAAAAATAAAACTCCGATTACAGTCAGTATTTACATAAACAAAAATATGTAGTTCGCCTATTGCTTTTGTAGTTTATAGAATTGAGAAAAAAACGACGTCGTTTACTCACCAGATAGTTATACGGCACCGTTTCTATGCTACAAAGGAGGAGACACGCTTTCGAAAGAATTGCAATTTCTGATGGTCACGTTCACAGCATTCTCTGCGTCACCTCCGCCGCTGATCACCTCGCAGCATTGCCTACGTGGCGCCTGTTCGTTCATTCACCACGTAATTACTTATATCTAATTATCATTACCATGTATATATATATATATATATATATATATGTATAGACGCCTAAATATTTCTATACAAGACCGGCTAATAACACTAATTTTCATTTTCAAATATATATACCCACACCACACATATATCTCATCATGTATTTACTGCTTTAAATTTCAATATCAATTTTATCAAACTGGGTATATTCATACATACATATATATATATATATATATATATATATATATATGGCGAGAGACGCTCCATACCTTTTTCCATACGTCTGACGTCATCTTGGTGGCAGTGACGTCGATGAACTCAACGGCCGAGGCGCGAGAATACGCCGGCGAGCCCTCACACTGCTGCTCATTCGAATCCGCGTGCTTCCTGTAAGTAGTCAACGTCTGACCCGACCCGAGTTCGTAAACCCGATCCAAGAAATAAACGATGGGTCTCCCACACGGGTCGTCGCTAAGGGGTCGGGTATCGAACGTGAATGGCTCCGTGGTCGAATCCTTCCACGACCTGAACGTTAGGACCGCCGTCTCGACCTCTTTGGCCGTGAGAATCGACGGATAAATCTGGACGGCGTAGCCCCATGAGATGGACAAGGACAAGTTCCGGGTCCGGTCGTAGCAGAAGCTGTGTTGGAGGATCCGATTGGGGTCGGTTCTGAATGAGGTGACGAGTCGCTTCAGCGAGTCGACTCGGGACGTGGAGGGGAAAATCGGGTCGACGTAGTCGAGGTGGTGGAGTGAGACCAGTGGGGCCAGGGGGTGTGCCGAGAGCAGACCGAACGGGTTGCCACGTATGTCCACCTGAAAGTCAACGGTTGAATAATGAGAGAAATAGAATAAAATAAAATTGTTATCTCCGGATTCTGTGGTCTAAATATTAGGGAACAATATCCATTTGGTTACATGAAATGGAATGGATGTCTTGTGTACTGAATTTGACAACAAAATATTCGGCAGTAAATTACAAAAAAAAAAAATGTCAAGTAGATATTGATTATTTCCGGGTTTTTTTTTAATCTAAATAAATATTAAGAGACTTTCAATTTAATTATATTTTTTAGTGTGAAATTAATAGTCACATTGGTTATAACATTAAATTTATGGTGATTATTAATTTACCATATTTACCATAAAACTATTATAAATTTAATATTATAATCAATGTGAATAATATATGACCAGACTATAATTATGAATATATGGTCAACAGAAGAAAATTATGGATTAAAATCAAAATAGTATATGGAGGGAATTTTTTATAATCTACCAAAACATATGATTCACAAAAAAACAAAAAAGAAAAATTATTGCGTGGGTAAATTGCAAGAAGAAAACGGAAGAAAATATTTATTGTTTTTCTCTTTTTTGGCCAATAAACCGGATATATCCCATCTACCAAATCCGTATTTACATTTGACAGTAATTTATAAAATCTTTAAATCCCAATTTTCTACCCCAAAAAAAAACGTAAACAATAGTATCTGAAATTAAAAGAGGGAAAACGACAAACATACCTGGTGAAACCCTAGCTCCTTGGTCATGGGAACTCCAATCTCACTAATACAACCTTGGATCTTCTGGTCGGACCCATAAAACGATGCGTATCGATCTATACATCCGTCGAGTATCCGTACGAGTTCGGTGGCCAACGGATAACTGATGGCGATTCCCCCGCCGCCGTACGCCATGGCGTACGAATGAACAACGTCTTGTTCTACACTTTCTGAGTTTCCCCCGATGTAATACATCTGGTTATGATCGTACTTGTTCAGAACAGTTACAAGGTTATCCAGAAAGAACACTGTATCGTCGTCTCCCATCACGAACCATCTCACGTTCTTTAACCCTAATTCGAAGGTCTCCTTCACGATTCTCGCCATTCTTATGGCAGATCTCGAACCATACCTATGGAAAAAAGATAACATTACAGATACATGCATACATATATATATATATATATATATATATGTATATACATTGTTCACAAGATCATGCGTATGAATATATAAAATGTACCAATTACGCAGTTTTCGGGTAATTTTTGTAATGTATAACGTTGTAATTAGTCAAGATTCACACTATTAACTTGATATATATGATTAGTGTCAAGTCGCATATACGATTTAATGAATCTATAGATATGATGCAGATTTTGGGTGGTTTTTGTAACCAATCGGTAGAGATTCACACAATTCGATATAGGTTGGATTAGTGTTGAATCGTATATACGTTTAGTAAATCTAAATATAATCAGAATTCAAAGAATGCAATCATATATATATATATACATGATGGAGGTAGAGGAAGCACAATAGTACCAGCATGTGTAACTGAACCGGGAGGTATCGCCAGAGATCCGGTACGGCGGGGGAGGG